ACACACCTTTCAACACAATTTAACAAATTTTTCAAAATGACACAACAATAAACCTTTTCCACACTTTTTTTAAAATTTTCAAAATTTAAAAAATAACCCAAAACAAAAATACACCAATAAAAAACCTATAAAAAATTATTTCAACTTTACAATAACAAAACCAAAAAACACCAACCTAACAAATAAACCAATCAAAACATAAATACAAGATTTAAAACCTTTCAAAACCCTAAAACCCCAAAGGGCACAACATAACATAACCCCAAAACCCTTAAAACAACAATTGAAAACAATAAAAAATAAAAATACAAAATTTTAAAACCCCAAAACCACCCCAAAAAACCCTTTTTTTAACCCTCCACACACTTCCACAAATATACACAACACACCACATACCACCAAAATAAACCCCACCACAAAACACACAACATACAAACACATACACATATACACACATAACAACCCCAACATACAAACACACATCTTAAAAAAGGGAAACCCTTTTGGACCCTGTTTAAACCCCTGTATGTTAGGGCCCAATATTGGAGTTATGCGGCACCAGTTTTTTGGAACCCCCCCCTAGCCAAGGAAAGTGAAAAAAAAAAATTTTGGGGAAAAAATGCAAAAAGGTTTGCAACAAGAATAGTCCCCGAGCTAAGGGTTTTTGTCCCAAAGAGGAGAGGTTAAGGGAAAACAACTGAAAGGAAAAAGGGAAAGAGCGGGGGAAAATAAAGGGGGGGACTTTATAAAAGAATACAAAATACTGAGAGGAATTGACCAAAGGGGGGACAAAAAAACCCGGATGTTCCAAAAGATTGGACAAACAGTAAAAAGGGGACACAGTTTTGGGAAACTGAAAAAACAAAAGAAAAGAAATTTACCCGGGATGTTTGGAAGTATTTTTTTCAGCCACAGAAGGTCAGTAGGGAATAGTTTGGGGAAAGCGAGGGAAATGGGGAGGCCAAATAAAACCATCATGCTTTAAGAGAGGTATTTAAAAAGTCACGGCCCCAGGGAGATGACCTAGTAGCCCAAACAGTTGGGAAAAGGCGGGGGGGCCCGGAAGGGTCGGAAATCGACCCCCCCCAACCCAACCCCAGGTGAGTTTAAAATAGGTGGGTACATACCACATAACACACAAAATTTACACCCCCAAAAAATAACACACAAAACAATCACACCCCCATTACACACACACATCACATACACACACACACATTTCACACACACATACACCCCAAATAACACACCCCATACCACAACCCTACACAAACAAAACCCTACAAAACACAAAACACATACACAAACCCACACACACATAAACACACATAAAACAAAAACATGCGCACACACATTTAAAAAAAAACCCCAACACACATTTTTCACCACCAAAACCCCCTCCACACCCACACACATACCCCACCACATAACCACAAAGGGGCTGAAAACCCCGGGCCCCCTGCAACCCCCAATTAGGTGAAATTCACATACACACATATATACACACACCCACACCACACACAAACACACACAAAAAATACACCCCACAACAATACACACCACAAACCCCCCCCCCACAAATAAAGGGGAGTTTCCCCACCCAAAAAACCCCCCCCAAAACCCCCCTTTCACACACCCCACCATACAAACCCCATACCCCTTTTCACCCATACACACAATAACACACACATTTCACCCCAAAACATACACACAATACACCACACACACACACCAAAAACAAAACAAAATACCATCAAAAATAACGCTGCAGCCCTTTGGGGGGCCTTTGCAAAACCCCCAGAACGCATTCCCCCAAAATCTTAATAAGGTCATTTTTAGGACCCCGTACCCCCGTGTACGTTAGGGCCCCTATTGGAGTATGCGCCCCCATTTGGAACCCCCACCCCCGCCAAAACAGTACAGGAAACTAGAGAAAAATGCAAAGGGTTTTCAACAAGACTAGCCCCAGAGCTTGGATATGTCCTTTCGAGGAGAGGTTAAGGGAAATCAACTGAAAGACATGGGGGGACAGGAGAGATAGGGGGGACCAAAGGGTAACGCTACAAAAATTCCCGAGGGAACTGACAAAGGGGGGACAAAAGGGGCAGGATGTTCCAGAGATTGGACCCAAATAAAAAAAGGGGGCACAGTTAGAAGCTGAAGAACAGATGAATCACAGGGATTTAGGAAGTATTTCTTCAGCCCCCAGAGTAGTCAGTTTAAATGGAATGTTTTTGGGAAAAAAATTTTAATGGAGGCAGGGTTCATACATACTTTAAGCAGGGGGTATGATAAAGCTCACGGCTCAGGGAGAATGACCTATTTGCGATCAGTGAAGAGGGGGGCCCGGAGCTCGGGGCTCGACCCCCCCCAAACCCCCAAAAAGTTTAGTACAACTGGTGAGTGCATCCCCACAAACCCCATACACCAAAATACCCACAACCACATACACACACACACCCTACACACACATATACACACACATACACAACAAAATACACCACAAAACACACACACACTACAAAACACCCACACACACCCACCCAAAACCCCATACAAAACAATCACTAACACACACATTTCACACCCCCACACACACATACAAAGAGTCATTAGTACGTAATGATGTATCACAAAGGTTTAAACCCGTACGAGCGGGGGGTTCCCCCCGGGGTCGGTCCCAGGACCCCGTGCTATTTTTGGTATTTTGTGAACAACATGATGGAAAGGGGTTGATAGAAGCGTTCCCCGTTCGCAGACGATGTGGTTTAAAGAGGAGAATTAAAAAAAAATCAGAAAGAGGACGGGGCGGACTTTTAAAGAGCCCGGGGCAGACTGCGACACCGGTCCAGCAACTGGCTTCTCGAATTTAATCCCGCCAAAAAACAAAATCATGAAAATGGGGAAAAGGGGAAAGAAAATCCAGACAAAGTTTAGGCTAGGTGGCCAAAGACTGCAAACCTCGCTAGGAGAAAGATCTTGGAGTGAGATAACACCAAAAAATGTTCCGGAAGCAAAACAAACAACCCCCCCAACTGGTTTCGCATAGGGGCGCCTGGCAAACCCGAGAAAAGCGTTTTTTGATACCTTGAAAGGGGGTCGTTCAAAAAAACCCGACACCGTTTTACGTCGGGGCCCCAAAATGGGGCAAAGCAGCACCTGTTTGGAACCCGCACCCTTTAAAAGCCCCGTCCAGAAATTAAAAAAAGAAAGTGCAAAGGTTTGCGACAAAGGGTTTGTTCAGAGCTAAGGGGGAAAGTGTATGAAGAAAGGTTTTTGGGGAAATCGGCCCGCGGGCACTGGAGGAAAAGAAGGGTCAGGGGAGACATTTATAAAAGAAATATAAAAAACTGCGCGGAAATAGACAAGGTGGACAAAGACGGATGTTTCCCGGGAGGGGAACCCTAAACCAAAAGGTCAAAATTTTGGAAATTTAAGGGCACAGATGAGGGCCCGGAGATATTTTGGAAGTATTTTTTCGTATAGAGTTTACAGGCTTTGGGAAAAGCCTAGAAAATGATTTTAGTGGGGGGCAGGAAAACCCTTTCATAGTTTTTTGACGAGGTATGATTTAAAAATATGGAGTGGGGAGGAGAGGACCCCGTAGCAAAAAAGGGGGAAAAGGCGGTTCCCGGAGCTAAGATGAACCGCATCCACAAATAGGTGGTTTCAAAATAGGGGAGGTGAGTAAACACAACACACACACAACGCAACATGCCCCCCACACCCTACACACACACATACACACACAGGGGCACACCCACATAACACACACTTTCACACCACCCCTTACACCCCACACATACACCCACACACCCTACCCAACAATAACACACACATACACACATACACCCATTACACACCCCAATACACAACCCCAAAATACACCCCAAAACCACACACACCCCATACACACACACATACCCCAAAACCCCATACACACCCACCCTAAATCACCCCCACACATATTTAAGAAAGAAAACAAGGGAAAAGAGGCAGTAAAATTTCGACCTGTGGCTCTGACAATTTACCATTTAGTTCCTATTTTAAATTTTTAAATTATATAAAATATTTTTTTTTTATTATATATTTATATATATATATATATATATATATATTTATATATATATATATATATATATATATATATATATATATAATAGGAACTGATGGTAAATTGTTACAAGGGATTACAAACTTTTTGTTCAAAATGATAAAACTTCTGATAGTATTTTTGTTGTTGTTGTAAAGACGTCACAAGTGGGGTGCCATAAGTATCTGTACTTACCCCAATAATTGATTTAATTTTCTTAAATAGCTTACGATGGGAAATAAAAAAATATATATGAATATGTTTATCTTTGATAAAAAAAGTAAGTACAATTAATAATAAAAATGACTGAAACTCTTTATTGGATGACTGTTAAAGTGAGCACACGGAGTGGTGGATGGATGCTGGCAGTAACTGTAGATAAATCTCCATGGGGAAGTGGAACAGAATTCTTCCTCCGTAAGCCATGTGTGTTGTACGAGGCGACTAAAATGCTGGGAGCAAGGGGCTAGTAACCCCTTCTCCTGTATATATTACTAAAGTTAAAAAGAGAAACTTTTTTTCTTTTTGCGCCACCCTGCCTCGGTGGGATACGGCCGGTGCGTTAAAAGAAGAAGAAATGTCATGTATTAGAAATGGGAGAACGGGAAGTGAGACTACATGAAGAATACAAACTGAGACAAAATAATGAAAGTGTCAGATAAGAGAGACATACAAGCTATTTACAAAAAAAACAAATGTCTCTGGAAGATCATATAACGAAACTGTGAGAAACTCACATGTTACGCTGCCGACCTATAAAATACCTTTCAGATATAAGGTTGGAGAATTATTAAGAAAGTTGTTCGCGAGATATTTTAGGCAAAATGGCCTAAAGATGGTAAAAATAATTAACATCGATTTAAAATTTTCTGTCAGCTACAGTATAATGAGATACTATAACTTTTCTCAGTGATTTGTAATCAGTAGCCGCACTGAAGGCACGTTGTTCCTGCAGGATGAAGTAAGACTCCACCGCGATGGGTAACAACAAGAGCAAGGAGAACGAGGTCACTGACCTGCTGGAGACGCACACTGACCACACTGACTCCATCAACTGCATCTGTGTAGCTGACGACGAGTCAGTAATAGTCACAGGCTCCGAGGATAAGACTGCACGCTTGTGGACCACCAAGGACCCCAAGGGGTCAGAGTGTCTGGGGACCCTAAAGTGAGTCGTCTTACGCCATTAAATTAGTTAGCTTCAACCTTCACCTAAGTTTCCTGAGGTCATTAAGTTGCTTTCCCCTAGGTGTTTACAGCAGTTACATTAGTTCTTCAGCTTAGTTTGCTTGAAACCTTCACCTTAGGTTCCTTAACCCTTCCCAAAAATTCCTATATATATATATATTATATATAGATATATATAAATATATATATATATATATATATATATAAATATATTATATATATATATATATATAAATAATAAATATATATATATATATATATATATATATATATATATATATATATAATATATATTTATTATATTATATATATATATATATATATACTAAATATAATCTTGCTCTAGTGTATACCGAGACTTAAATATTGTCAAGCAATGATTAACTCTTAATGGTAGTCTAGTGTACCTTAATGGTATAAACTACACCCACAAGGTTTGATAAAATTTAGACACATTGCAACACCTGCGTTATCTTTATTATGAAAGAGGGACAGGATGAATTTGAGATCACGTTTTCTATATCCATATATTTACTCCTCGGATGTCTCCAGTGAAGTCCCTCATTGGCTCGAAGTGAGTGGGTTTACCTTTCCCCTCACTTTCTAATTGCAATTCAGACAACATGAAGCACATACATGCAGGCGTCATATGACATAGCTGTACCCACCAGCACACTGTGGCATACTGATGAAATATTGTACTCGCCTCAGGCCACAGTGGGTACGTGACGTGGTGTTCATGTGTTCGACACTTACGTCTTCACTGGCTCCAGCGTCTGCCACCATCAAGAAGTGGAACCATGACCTCCAGCATTGAATTCACCTACGAAGGTATGACCAGTCATCTCACACACTCATCTCTTCCTCTCTCTCTCTCTCTCTCCTCATCACGTCAACATCTCTTATCATTTTATGGCTCTCATCAGTCTCAGTTCTCTTACCATTCACAGATCTCATTACTCTTATACCTCTCAAATTGCTCTTAGTTTCTCAGCTGTTCTCTTGGGTCTCTCATCACGTACTCTCTATTACCGCCACTTACACAACTCCACATCACTCTCAGCTTTCCCATCACTCTCTGCCACACTCACTGACCCATGTTTCTTGTTGTATGTATGTTCACAGAACAACTCGAGAGTAGCCAACTGTGTCTGCCCCACAGGCCCATAAGACCTACACCCCCGTACCTTACAGGTCATAAAGACCTACACCCCCTGCCCTTGCAGGTCACTAGCATCACGTGTGATGCGGGTCATATTGACACGAGAGTATGTCATCCAGCTCTTCCAGGGACAGACAGCAAAAGTTGGCTCTACGACCACTGAACGACTTGCCCGAAGGGAAAGAAAGCGAAAGCCATGTATCCGCACTTCAAGGTAGCAGCAGGCTTTCTAGCCTCTAGATTCTAGGTGACACTTTAAACTATACGTGTCTAGATTCATGGTTATTCCTAAATTATGAAGTTCTCAGATTTTCGGGCCACGCTTGGCCCTCAACTCTTCTCCATCACCCAAGCAGAAGTTAAACTTGAGCTAACCCCCAGGTTTTTCATCTTTCCTTAACCCCCTGGTTTCCCTTCTTTTCCCTTAACCTCCCTTATTTTCCCTCTCTTTCTTAGGGCCACAAGAAGACCGTACATCCCCTTATTTACATCTCTGCGGATGAGTCTAAGGGGGAGGAGGACCTGGTGATCACTGGCAGCACTGACTCCACTGCCAAGCTCTGGACTCTTGATAGTGGGACATGCTTGAAGGTGGGTGCTGAGCCGTGGGTGTGGTGGGTTAGTGGGGTGCTTGAAGGTGGGTGCTGAGCCGTGGGTGTGGTGGGCTAGTGGGGTGATTGAAGGTGGGTGCTGAGCCGTCAGTGTAGTGGGTACTTGGGGAGTGCTTGAATAGTGGAGGTGCTGCAGCCGTGGGTGAGGTGGTGGGGCAGTGGGTTGCTTTTGAAGGGTGTGCTGAGCCGTGGGCGTGGTGGGCGTTACTACCTGTGGGTGCTTATGAAAGTGGGTGGGCCGAGCCGTGGGTGTAGTGGTTAGTGGGGTGCTTGAAGGTGGTTCCTAAGCCGTGGGTGTGTGTGGGTTAGTGGGGGCCTTGAAGGTGGTGCCTGAGAGCCGTGGGGGTGTGGTGTGAGTTAGTGGGGTGCTTGAGAGGTGGGGTGACCGATCCATGTCTGTGGTGGGGTTAGTAGTGTGCTTGAAGGTGGGTGACCGAGCGTGGGTGTGGTGGGTTTAGTGGGGTGCTTGTACAGGTGTGGGTGCCATAAGTAGCCGAGGTGTTGTAGGGATAAGTGGGGGGCATTGAAGGTGTGATGCCTGAGCCGTGGAGTGGATGGTGGGTTAGTGGGGTGGCTTGAAGGTGGGTTGGCCTAAGCCGTGGGTGTGGTGGATAGTAGGGTTCCTGAAGGTGGGTGACCGAGCCGTGGGTGTGGTGGGTTTAGTGGGGTGCTTGAAGGTGGTGTCCATAAGCGTGGTTGGTGGGTTAGTGGGTGCTTGAAGGTGGGTGACCGAGCCATGGGTGTGGTGGGTTAGTAGGGTGCCTTGAGGTGAGTGACCGAGCCGTGGTGTGGTGGGTTAGCGGGGTGCTTGAAGGTGAGATGACTGAGCCTTGGCGTGGTGGTTCTAGAGGGTGCTTGAAGGTGAGTGACTCGAGCTGTGGTGTGGTGGGTTAGTGGGGTGCTTGAAGGTGCGTGACTGAGGCGCGTGGGTGTGGTGGTTTGGTGGGGTGCTTGAAGGTGGGTGACCGAGCTGTGGTGATGGTGGTTAGTGGGGAGCTATATGACGGAGGGGGACCGAGCGTGTGTGTATGGTGGGTTATGTGGGTGCTTGAAGGGTGGGAGACCGAGCTGTGGGATATGGTGGTTAGTGGGGTGCCTGAAGGTGGTGCCGAGCTGTGGGGGGGGGGGTTGTATGGTTGGTAGTGGGGTGCTTGAAGTATGGGTGAGACTGAGCCGTGAGTGGTGGTGGGTTTATTGGGGGATGCTGTGAAGGTTGGTGACGCGAGCTGTGGTGTGGTAGGGTAGAGGGTGCATGAATATGGAGGTGACAGAGCCTGAGTGTGGTGGGATAGAGGGGTGCTGCAGGGGTAGGGTGACCGAGCTGTGGGTGTGGTTTGGGTTAGAGGGGTGCTTGAAGGTGGTGACCGAGCTGTGGGTGTGGAGGGTTAGTTGGGTGCTTGAAGCGGTGGGTGACCGAGCGAGGGTGGAGGGTTAGTATGGGTGCTTAGAAGGATGGGTGACTGCCGCGTGAGAGTGAGGTGGGTTAAGTGGGTGCTGAGGTGGGTGACCGAGCCGTAGGTGGTGGTTTAGTGGGGTGCTTGAAGGAGAGTGACAGAGCCGTGAGTGTGGTGGGTTAGTGGGGTGCTTGAAGGTTGGGAGACCGAGCTTGAGTGTGGTGGTTAAGTGTGGGGTGCTGAAGTTGAGTTACAGAGCCGTGAGTATGGTAGGGTATAGTGGGTGTGCTTGAAGTGGGTGCCTAAACCATGGGTATAGTGGGGTGTAATGGACGCTTAAAGTGTATAAACACTTAGCAACAGCTACTATGTAAAGAACATATCATATCAGAATTTAGTACATAAAGATGACTGAGCACGAAAACTTCTTACAAATAATCACTGTAACTTCAGTAAGATATTCTAGGAAGTTAGCAAATATTCCCCCACCTGCTGTGAAAGAGTAGAACTATGATTAAATTAAAACAATGACTAGTAGAACTCATCCATTTACATTGTCTCATGCGTCTTACGCTTGTCAATGTTGATTTATATATATTTTTGTGATTCAGATACACGGGGCATATAATAGGGCACTAAATCGAAGACACTTATTCGTTGAAATACGAATATAATACACAGATCTCAATATGTAGGAAGTTATTTACGGATAATTTGAAGACATCCGTGTCCGGAGTCGATCCCCTGTACGGTTCGGAAGTTTTGAGACTCTCTTGGACCGCGGGTTCAATCCCTACCGAGGGTAGTTTTTTGCAATCGTGTCATTTACGATTCGTGATTCTCAGCTAAGCCCTTGGCGGTCGCGTCCTGGGGACAAACTGACCTAATTTGCCCGAAATGCCAGCTAAATAAGCTGCTTTCTATAAATAGTATGTCACTGAAGTCAGCTTAGTGACTGTATACCTAGCACATGTGAACTTGAGTAATAAAGATTATTATTATTATTATTATTATTATTATTATTATTATATTAATAATTATGTATTATTATTATTATTAATTATGCACTAATATTATTATTAATTATCATTAAGTTAGTTAATTATTATATATTATTATTCTTATTATTATTATTATTATTATTATTAATATTATTATTATTAACATTATTATTATTATTATTATTTATTATTATCATTATTATTATTATTATTATTATTATTATTATTATTATGTAATCTTATTATTATTATAATTATATAGAGAGACAGTAATTAGATATATTTAACATTGATCAAGATATCAACAAATATTATGGTGACTGGATTAACATTTCTTAAAAAATCCATGGCACCATATCTCTGTGTTACCTTGCAGCAGATCCGCCATTAGAAAATATCAAATTGCATCTGACAGTTTTAAGTGTCCGGAGACTCAGCACCCGCCTTTAAACCCTGACTACCAGACTTCGTATCTTAATCTGATCTACCCATCTTAATATGTCTTTCAAACTGAGCGTTCAGACTCAACACACAATCCCACCGCAACCAAACACCATCAGCATAGTGAAAAATTCCTGCCAACCTAACTAAATTCCAGCCACGTAATTAACTAACATCCTACCAACCATCTAATACAAACTTATTTATCTTCCTATTAACATTCCTAACATCCTTCCTACTAAACATTCCACTAACGCATCCCTACCAACCAACCCCATCCACCGTCTCTCAAACTCCTAATAGAAAACCTCTGCCTAGTGCAAAATTCACACCTAAAAATCATCACCGAAAATTCGCTATAAATTTTATTACTCTCTACAACTTCATGTATAATCTACCTACATGTGCTTCAGACATACGCCAACCACAAGGGTCCCGTCATGGTGATGACAAAGACAAACTCAGGAAGAATTCCTCTTCAACCAAACCGGCAGCGCTGACACCACCCCATCATAAGCTGGGACATTGCTACAGCCAAGCAACTCAAGGTATGGGAGGATGGTTCATGTATCTGGGCCAAGTGTCAATAATTAGCGAGAGGTGGGTGGGGATCTCACCAGGACGGTACATATTCTCTTTCTCTCTCACTCTATATCTACCCATCTCCCACAGGTGTACGAGAGCCACAACACAGAGATCATGTGTCTATCGGTCGTGAACAAGCTGATGTACTCGGGTGACTGCGCCGGCCTGGTCAAGTGATTGTGTGGAGTTAATGGAGTATTACCAGGGATACCGTGGACACAAACATTCAGTTACTTGTCTCAAGTTCTACAAAGGCATTCGTAAGTATCTCTCCAACAACCTTTCTTACCTCTCTCGCTTCCTGTCTATCCAATAACCTGTCTTACCTCACTCTTCCTGTCTATCCACAACCTTTCTTACCTCTATCTTCTTGTCCATCCACAACCATTTTCCACTACACTATACTGTATTCCTCTAATAGCCTAATAAAGAAAAAACGATCAGGCTGTTCTTGTTTATAGTACTAAGAAAAGTGTTATAAACAACCTCCGCTGCGTGTCGTGTTACAGTGGAACACAGCTGTGGGGTACGGTGATGTACGAGGCTTCGAGGCTAAGACCAGCGCTCTGGTGAAGACTCTCACTACCAAGGACTCGACCCAAGTCATCAACTGCATGGCTATCTGCAACGACAAGCTGTTCTCCTGCTCTCAGGACGGCAAAATGAGATACTGGGACATCTCCAATATTGGAATAGGTGGTGTCCATTGGAGGTGGGAGAAACCGCTGGTGGTGTGTCATTGAAGGTGGGAGAGACCGCGGTGTTTGGTCAGTTGGGAGGGAGAGTAACAGCTGGGTGTTTGTCAAGTGGGGTGAGAGACGCTGGTTTTGTCAGTGGGGTGCGAGAGACCGCTGGTGTTGTCAGTGGGGAGGGAGAGACAGCGGATGTAGTCATGGGGATGGAGAGACCGGCTGGTGTTTGTTCAGTGGGGTGCGAGAGACCGCTGTGTTGACAGTGGGGAAGGAGAGACAGCCATGGCGTCTTGTCAGAGGGGGCGACAGAGACCGCTGGATGTTGTCAGTGGGGGTGGAGAGCCGCTGGTGTTGTCAGATGGGTGGGAGAGACCCGCTGGTGTTTTGTCAAGTTGGGGTGGGAGAGACCGCTGGTGCTTTCAGTGGGTGGGTGAGACAGCTGGTGTTGTCAGTGGGTTGGGAGAGAACGCTGGTGTTGAGTCATGGGAGGGAGGGACCCGCTGGTGTTTGTTGCCAGTGGAAGTGGGAGGCCCGCTGGATGATGACAGTGGGTGGGAGGGGCGCAGGGTGATGTCCAGTTGGGGTGGGTGAGAGACACGCTGTAGTTTTGTCATGGGGTGAGGAGGAGACCCAGGCGAATGTATCAGAGGGGTGGGAGGGACCGCTGGTGTTGGTTCAGTGGGGAGGAGAGACGCTGGAGTTGCAGTTGGGTGGGAGTCGACCGCTGTGTATGGTCAGTGGGTAGGGAGAGACCCGCTGTGTATGTCAGTGGGGTGGAGAGACCGCTGTGTATGTTCAGTGGGTGGGAGAAACCGCTGGTGTTGGTCAGTGGGTTGGGGAGGTACCGCTTGCGATGTCAGTGGGTGGGAGGGACCAGCTGGTGGTTGCAGTGGAGGGAGAGACCGCTGGTAGATGTACCAGTGGGTGGGAAGAGACCGCAGTGTTGTCAGTGGGGTTGTGAGAGTACCGCTCGAGTGTTGTCAGTGGTGGTGGAGCGACCGCTGTGTGTATATCAGCTGGTGGGAGATGGCCGCTGGTCAAGTCAGTGGGGTGGGAGGAGACCGCCTGGTGATGTGAAAACATGGGGTGGAAGAGACCGACTGGAAGAAGTCAGATGGGGTTGGGAGAGACCGCTTGTGAAGTCAAGTGGGGAGGGAGGACCAGCTGGTGAGTCATTCGAGAGGGGAATCATATTACAAGTATTACTGACACTAGACATATCAAAAATGACGAGATACTGTTAAAAAGAAATTCATATATACTTTAATGTATTTAATATCGCAGCTTCACGAGTGGAACAATGTACACCCTGTAATAAAAAAATAATAATAATATAATAATAATAATAATAAAATAATACTAATAATAATAATATTTTCTTATTACTATTAAATATTAATGTTTATCTAATTATACCCTTGAGTACCTTGTGGGTTAGCGCTTAGTTTTTATAAAATACTATTCTTTCCTTATTATTATTTAATTTATTGCATCTTTACCTAGATTAATATTTCTCTGACTGTGTGTGTGTATGTGTGTGTTTTGTTTTGTGTGTGTTTGTGTTGTGTTTTGTTTGTGAGGTTTGTGTGAGTGTGGTGTGTGCGGTTTGTGTGAGTTTGAGTGTGTGTGTGTGTGTGTGTTTGTGTGTGTGTGTGGTTTGGTGTTGTGTGGTGTGTGTGTTTGTGTGTGTGTGTGTGTGTGGTGTATGTTGTGTGTGTTGTGTGTGTTTGTGTGTGTGTTGTGTGAGTTTTGTGTGTGTGGTGTGTGTGTGTGTTTGTGTGATGTTGTGTGGTGTTTGGTGAGTAGTGTGTGGTGTGTTGTGTGTGTGTTGTGTGTTTGTGTGTGGTGTGTGTGTGTGTTTGTGTGTGTGTGTGTGTGTTTGTGTGTAGTGTTTTGTGTGTGTGGAGTTTGTGTGTGTGTTTGTGTGTGTGTGTGTGTGTGTGTGTGTGTGTGGTGTGTGTGTGTGGTGTATGTGTGTGTGTGGTGGTGTATGTGTGGGTGTGTGTGTGGCCGGGATTGAATTTCGAGAAGCCAGTGCAGGACCACATGTCCAGCCTGTCCAGGGTCTCTTTTTCAGAGTCCTGCCTCATCCTCGCCGCTTAATTCTTCTCAACAACTTCACGTCTTCTGCGAACAGGGACACTTCAATCTATCTACCATCATGTCGTTCACAATATCAAAAATAGCACTGGTCTAGAACGACCCCTGTGGTACCCCGCTCGAACAGGCGCCCACTGAGTGTACCTCTTTCAACACATGACCTATGCTGCCTACCTGTCAAGGTATTCCCTTATCCATTGCATGCCCTCCCTTTTTAACGTGCGCCTGCTTCCCCCAGCTTCTGCACTAATCTCTTGTGGGGAACTGTGTCAAAGGCCTTCCTGCAGTCTAGGAAAACGCAATCTACCCACCCCTCTCTCCTCGTGTCCCTTACTTCTGTTACCGTTGTCATAAAACTCCAGGAGTTTGAGATACAAGATTTGCCTTCCAGAACCCATGCTGGTTTTTCATTAATACTCTTTGTTCCTTTCCAGGTGTGTCGACCACTCTCCTCCTGATAATCTCTCCCTGACATTGCACACAATAACATGTCAGAGACAAGGTCTGAAGTTTAGTGCCTCGTTTCATGTTTCCATTCTTAAATATGGGGACCTACATTACTGTCTTTCCATTTCTCAGGTAGTTGCCCAGTTATCAAGGAGATGAGATGAAGATTGTGGGTTAAGAGGCAACGGCACAACATCTCTGCCCTTCACTAAGGACGCCATGGGGAGAATCTTGTCCGGTCCCATCGCCTTTGAGGTGTCAAGGTTCAACTTAAGAGCTTCTTCACCAGCCACCTCAGTTGTTCGTATGACATCCAACACTGTTAGGGTATATTTCCCTTCTTGATGTTCCCTTCTGTGCTGTCTTCCCACAGCCCTTTCCTTCCTCTACTAGTAAAAACTTCCTTAAATCTCCTAGTCAGCTCCTCATATACCTCCTGAACATTTCTGTAGTTCTCCACCTTCTGTCCTTAATCTGCTCACCTGGTCTTTGATTGTTGTCTTCCCTCTCCTGATGTGGCTATCAAACAGTTTTCGGGTCAGTCTTAGATTCTCGAATGCTATGGTCATTTTCATACTGTCGCGGAGCCCCTCCCTCCATAACCTGAGCTAACTCATCCTGGTCTCTGGACTGAGATTCCCCTATTTTCGTGTGTTCTCTGCCTTCCTGATACTATTTTCCATTCTCTAGCACTTTGTTTTGCCTTCCTACACCGTCGTGTAAACCCGGGGCTCGTTCCTGGACTCCGTTGTTACTTTAGCACTTTGGGATAAACCTTTCCACTGCGGCCTTGCATTTTGTTGTATCAATATTCCATATTTCGATTTACTGCTGTCCTGCCAGTTCTCTGTCCCACTGGACCTCCCGCAGGAAGGTTCTTCAACCCTATGAAGTCCCCTCCTTAATAGGTCAGACTTTTCCCAATCCAAACTCCTGTTATTCTCTCCACTAGCAGCTCTAACTACTGATTCAAAGCCCAAGAACCACTGGTACGCTAGCTCCTAGGGACTCTCATACTTGATGTCCTCAATATCTGATCTCCCAGGAGGACACAAGGTCCAATCTTGCTGGTTACACCCTCCCCACTCACTCTGGTATGTCCTAAACATGTGGTGCATGAGGTTTTCCAACAACCACGTCCCAACATCCTGGCTCTCCATGTTTCGGACACCCCATTGTGGCTCCGTTTTCCCAGTCAATCTCCCTGTGGTTTGAAATTCCCTCCATAAGCCGTGTGTGTGTGTGTGTGGGTGTGTGTGAGTGTTTATGTGTGAGTGTGTTGTGTGTGTGTGTGTGTGTGTGTTGTGTTTGTGTTGGTAGTGTGTGTATGTGTGTGTGTGTGTTGTGAGCGAGTTTGTTTGTGTGTGTGTGTGTGTGTGATGAGTGGTGTGTGTGTGTGAGTTTGTGTGAGTTTGTGTGTGTGTTTTTGTGTGTGTGTGTGTGTGTTGTTTGTGGGTGTGTGTGTGTGTGTGTGTGTGTGTGTTGTGTGTGTGTGCATGTGTGTGTTGTGTGCCTTGTTTGTGTGTGAGTGGTGTGATGTGATGTGTTTGTGTTTGTGTGTGTTGTTGTGTGTTGTGTGATGTTTGTGTGTGTTATGTGTGTATGTGTTTGTGTGGTGTGTATGTGTGAGTTTGTGTTGTGTGTGTGTGTGTGTGTGGTGTGTGTATGTGTGGTGTGTTGTGTGTTGTGTGTGTATGTTGTGTGTGTGTGTGTGTGGTGATGTGTGTGTGTGTGTGTGTGTGTGTGTCGTGTTTGGTGTGTGTGTGTATGTGTGTATTGTTGTGGTGTGTCTGTGTGTGATGTGTGTTTGTGTGTGTGTGTGTGTGTGTTTGTGTGTGTTTTGTGTAGTGTGTGTATGTGTGTGTGTGTGTGTGATGTGTGTTTGTGGAGCGTGTAATGTGTGTTTGTGCCGTGTTATGTAAGTGTGTGTGTGTGAGTGTGTGTGTGTGTGAGTGTGTTTGTGTGTGTGTGTCAAGTGTGTGTGTGTGTGCGTGTTTGTGTGTGTGTGTACCACCTATTTGTGGTTGCAGGGGTCGATTTCCACACTTCCTGGCCGGTCCACCGCCTCTTCGCTGATTGCTACTAGGTCCTCTCTCTACTCTTCTCCCCCTCCGGCCCCATGAAGCTCTATACATACCTTCGCCTTAAAACTATGTATGGTTCCTGCCTCCACTACATCACTTTTCTAGGCTAATTCATGGCCGTGAACTACCTATGACTGAAGAATACTCTCCAAACATCCCATTGACACATCTGATCTTCAACTTCCAATTGTGACCTCTTGTGTCAGTGTCCCAATCTCAGAAATCCCTTCCTTTGTCCACCTCCTCTATACCGCGCGAGTATTTATATGTCGTTATCATGTCTCCTCCCTGACCGCTCCCTGTCTCCAGTGTCGTCAGGCCAGATTTTTTCCCTCAAACCATTCATTCATAGGACAATCCCCTATCTCTGGGACAGTCTTGGTTGCAAAACTTTGCACTTACTCGTAG